ATTTAAAAAATGTTTTTCAACAGAAAATCTTGTAGCAATCTCATTCTGCTTACTATTAACATAACTTGACACTGTCACACAAAGGCAGTTTTGTCCCCAATCAGACTGCTCTCAGTTGCTCTGCCTAACAATATGTCTTTTCTGAACAAAAAGAAATTAACCCTACCACGCTGACATGTCAGGATGAAGTTATGGCCAGAAGTTTTAGACAGAAGTCGTCTCCTAATGCACTGTAATGAATGAAATAATCTCAGTGAACATTTACAATTCTCTACTATGCCTGCGGCTCAGCACCCAGAATCCCACCTGAACCTCACAATAATCCCAAGTGCCTTCCCATTTAACAGATGCAGAAACTGAGGTTCCTGTGGGTTAAGGAAATGACCACAGGGCAATGGTAATTTAACATCTCTAATCTCAAGCCCTTACTCTGGCCTCCAACCTATACAGCCTCTTTGCTGTACCTACTGGCGGGTTTGGAGAGGTAGATGGGCTTTGCCCCAGTGCATTTCCATGAATTTATTTATATTTAGGTGAATGGCCAAAGGGGACTTCTACAACACTGGAGAGAGGCTATCATCTCTCCCATCTACCCTTGCGCTCAGGCCAGACTGGTCTGCTACATCTGGGAGTAGAGGAGCACCAAGCTGCTCCAGGGAGCCCCAAGGGACCAACGTCACAAAGGACACTGCTGGGGAGGTTAAGGCAGATCACATACTCCCACTGGGGCATCTCTGTCCCAGGTGGAATGCAAATTTCTTGCCTATATTTATCGATGGAGTTCTAGCTTATCCAGACCCACACATGGCTGGTCTGGAAACTGATAAGCAAAAGCCTGGAATTCCTCCTCTGTTCTTTCTTACTTCAGCTGTTACTGGGTTTTTTTTTATCCCCACCCTGCCTATCAGGACAGGAAGGGCAGAAAAGAGGCAGGCAAAGCTGTCTGACAGCAAGGTAGACAGCACACTTGCCCTCCAGATGCTGAGAGATTTTACAAAAAGTAACAACGTATGTAACAAATTTCCCCCCAAATTACCATGCTCAGGGAGAGTGAGATAGGGAAATAAATTTAGAGAAAAGAGTGGCAGATGGAATGGATGGATTCAATTAAGGCAAAGAACATCAAACGATTCCAGGGACACCTCATCTTAATAGAATATGTCGTTTTCTCATTGCTGCTTGCAGGTAACTCTCAACAACAGCCCAGGCAGGATGTAGGGTGCCCCACAATGCCTCAACCCCAGCAGGCATTTAATACCTTCAAATCAGAGGGCCAATACTCCTCTCCTCCTCTCTTCGGTACTGTGCAGAAATAACATATGAATAAGACTCAGTGAATGGAGGACACATGTTAGACACACATGGCTACAGAACCAGGTATTATTTGGGTTAAATAGATATTTTCCACTGTCATTTCCATGGAAGGGATTTCTTTATTTGGTCTGTGGCAGAGTCTCCTTTTTAATGAAGCCAACCACTCCATCATTTTCCACAGATGATAAAATAATAAAATGTTTATATCTTCTTTATCTTCCTAAACATTAATCATGAGGGAGAGGGTGTTATGCTTTTACCAGATAGTTTATTCCACAAATAATACAGTATCATGCTGTAAATTACTGTTTCGCAGGTCACTTTATTCCTGCTAAGAATGTGTAAGATTCTTATTTCCTCTAACAGTATTTACAATCATTTACAACCAAAAAGAATTCAGATCTGCAATAAGTTTGCTATACATTGCTGATATTAGTATAAATGTTTTTATAATAATATATACGCACTACCTTGACCTGAACACTACTACCAACTGACCTCAATTTCCATCCAAAGTCAAGCGTAAAAGTCTAGTGGTTTGATAAACAATGTTTTTATTCTCTAGCTCCTAGCTGTGCAAATTAATTGTCAGCCATGTGATCCTACAATGCAAGTGGGTTATGGTGTCACAAAGTTGGCACAACTTCTATAGTCAGCGGGGAAACTGGAATGTTGAGTACAAACTCTACAATCATATGGACAGCACTCAAACAGCAATAATGTATATGTGTCCTGATCATCAATTAAACACTGCAATGTAGCCAAAGTCTTTTGTAGGGAGACTAAATCACAATCACTATTAGATTCCAGCCCAAACTTTTTTTTTTAATAGTACTGGGGCTTGAACCTAGGACCTTCATGCTGAGCTACATCCCCAGTCATTTTATGTATTTATTTATTTATTTTGAGACAAGTAAGTCTCAGCCTACTTTACTATATTACACAGTAAAATACTGCCAGCTAGAAGACAATGACACTATCATACCATCCCCAGGGTCCTAAATAATAGCCTCCACTGAGAGACTCTGCTGTAGAAGTAACCTAATGCTAAAATAAGGAACTATTGTCTTGTTTCTCTGTGACAGAGGAGCCCTGACATCTGATGATAAGCCATCCTTGATTTATTTTATTTTATTTTTCTTTGTTCAAAGATATTTGCACTGGCCCTCAGAAGAGGAGTGAGAACTCTGTAAGCTTGAGGCATTGCTTCCCAGAAAGCAGCCACACTCACTTGGGCAGGATCAGCTCCCACAGCCTATTGGACCAAGGTCCTCAGGTCCTGCCTGGCCAGATGCCTCACTTGCAGGGCACAGGAATAGAGAGTCCCTGATACACAGACCAGTCCTATGGCAGCTCACAGTGTGGCAGTGGGCTCTCCTGAGAGCAAGCCAAGGAGGGCATGAGAGCGTAAGCCATACAGAAGCCGCAGCCTTTTTGTAACCCAATATCAGAGATGATATCTAATAAATTTGCCATAGCCTACTTCTTAGAAGCAAGTCACTAGGTCCAGGCCACACTGAAGGGGAGGAAATCACACAAGGACGTGAACAGGAGATAGGGCTCTTTGGGGGCCATCTTGGGGGCAGCCTATACCTTCCCTGCCTGCACAAGACAGGAATAAACACCAACTCAGAACATAAACAGAGGGAAAACAGGAGGGTAGAATGGGAAAGGCCATGCTCTAGTGATTGCTTATGTCTCTCTGTCTCACTGTCTCTCTCTCCCTCCCTCCCTACCTCTCCAAAATCCAGCTAAACAACCCACCCTCTGATAGGCACCTTCTCCAGGGAGTACCACACCAGCTCACTTCTCCACCTACACACACTGTCAGGGTTCAGGCCTCCAGCTCCATACCCGAAGGCTGTGTTTTTGAAACAGTGTTTCGCTATGTAGTCCCAACTGGCCTCAAACTTGCCACAATCCTCCTGCCTCATCCTCCTGAGTGCTGGGACCATAGGCATACACCACTGTGCCTGGCTAGCACTCCTTTTCTAACCTGCCTCCACAGTCCAATAAGTTCTGGACACCCCAACCAGAACATCTTTTCAGCTCACACTTCCGTCTTTACAATGCCAAAAGCCCTGGTGGTGGTGTGATTCCCTCCTGTCAAACAAAATCCAGACTCTTTAACCTGCCATTCCGTGGGTAATTTGACCAGAACTTGGTTACCCAAACTCACCATCCCCAATGCCCCAGGGAACCAGCAGAGACTTTATTCAACGTCCCTCTCCCTTGGCGAGACAGTCTGCATCTTACCATTATAAACCATTCCCAATTTCCACGGTGCGGTGCAGAGCGGATCCCATCTTCTGATCACTCCTAACCAGATTCCAGCTCCTCCTGTGGAAAGGCAGGGCCTTAGGAAACCCCACCACTCACTGATACGTGGTCTCCCGCCGGTCTCTGGGCAGGTGTCGCATTTTCCTTAAGAAGTCGGTAAGTTTCCCTCCTCCCCTCTTCCAGAGAGGTCTCACTTGCCCTCCCTCAGGCGGCTGGGTCACGCTGGTGGGAAAGTTCATGGATGGGCTGGAGGGAACTGCCACGCACAGGGGCGAGCACATGAGAAGAGGTCACTGCGCAGCAGATATTCCTTACCGCCACTCACCCTTAAAACGGGAACGCTCCACCCAGCGGCACTCTAGCGAGGCAGGAAGCTTCGGCAGAGCAAAGGCAAATGAGGTTTATCTGGGCTTGCCACGATCGCGCCCCCTCACACACGCATGCACGCACACACCACAGCGGGAGACAGGTCTGTATCCCCTTCATCGCCCGGCCCTATCCCCACGCCTGCTATGAAGTACGGGTGCCAAGTGCCAGGGCTTTTGATGGCACGGACAGGGCAGAACTCGGTCCCTGTGAGGCAACGTCAGTGCTCTGACTACGGGGCACAGGAGCACCTGGGAGCAGCAGCAGGGAGAACTAACGGGTGCTGGGGAAACAGGGAAAAAGTACTGCGGGGGGCTGCTCTGCAGGTCAGCTGATTCCTAGTAAACAAGAACCAAAAAACAAAACAAAACAAAACAAAAAACTGTAAAAGAGTTAACAGAGGACCTTTCAGGGTCTTTGTTACTTACCCCAGGAGGAAAACCTCGAGGAAAGCACCGAACGTCCAAACTCCAGAGAAAGCCAGCGAGCCCGCTCCTGCAGTGGAGCCGAAGGGCGTTCTCTCAGGGGCGCGCCGGGGCAGCCCCCGCCAACTGCGGCGACCTCCGGAAGCGGGACCCGGGCCGGGCCGAGTT